TCATTGTTTTAAATACTTTATCCAGTTGTTGGTGGGTTTAGGTAGGAGGATAAATCTGATCCCTATTATTACATCTGGCGGGAAGCAGAGCACTTCAGTATATTTTGATATACTACACTCTAATATATCGAAAAGCAATAAGATTCTGTTAAGAATATAGAACTGATCACATTTATAGAGGACAAGTTGCTTACATTTTCATGTTTTTATAATTTATGTGCTGACAACTCCCACTGCATTTGACATATATGCACACATATAGTTTTGCCCAAGTTTTAAAACATATAAATTACACCAAAATATGAAATTTTAATTGGATCTATGGCTTCCCATTTTTCTTAAGATATTTATGAAGATTCACTTGAATATAACATATTATGCTTATCTTTATATTACGAAGGTAGTCTGTAGACTTTATAACTAAACACTCATTTTTACTTGTATTGAAATCCATACCTTCAAATTCTTATGCATGATGAAAATAAGCCTAAATGTGTGTGAGCACATTTAGGAGATGCATGACTAAAGTTTAAATCCCAACATGGATTTTAGTTCAAAAGGGTGAATAAAAGGCAAAGCTGGTTAAGTATAAGTACTATTGTGTAGTATAGATTAGAAGAAGAGAAAAAAAAAAACATAAAAAGCATAAAGAGAACGAAGGGAAACACAAAGAGAAAGGAAATGAAGGCTAAAAAGCCCAAAGACAAGAGCAACCAGAAGAATAATGCTTAAATCCATCAGCAGTAATGGGCTAGTGTGGCCAGGACAGGCTGGGACGAACTTTTGTAGGGCTGTGCACACGGATACGGATTAGCACTTGAATTTTCTTCTTCATTCATTCAATAAATCTTTTAGTGTTTACTATATTCCAGGTTTAAAACAGAGGTCAGCAAACTCTGACCAATGCCTATTTTTGTACAGCCCATGATCTAAGAAGAGTCCTTACATTTTTAAAAGTTAAAAAAAAAAAAAAAAGGATATGTAATAGAGAAGTATGGGCTGCAAGGCCTAAAAATATTTGCTATTTGGTCATTACTGAAAAAGTCTGTCAATGCCTGGTTTAAGATACAGGGAATACATCAGCATAAAAGCAAAAGAGTGAGGGAGAGAAGATCTTGCCCTGGACCTGATATCCTAGTAGGAAGGATCCAGAAAAGCAATAAATAAGTGAAATGTATAGTTTCCAGATGGTAGGCAGAGAATTAGAAGAGGGAGAGAAATCGGATGCTAGACGTGAGCTTTAGACCTGCCTCATGGCCCAAAGAGCAAAATGAGGAGGACGGTCTTGGGATGAGGGATGATCTGATTCCTCAGAAAAGCTGCATTTTTTGAGGTGATGAAGGTCACACAACGAGATGGTGGCAAGCGGAGACGGTCATTTTGATTGTGATTGTTGTGGTGAGGGTGGTGAAGAGAGTGGTGTATTAACTCAAATCCAGCGTTCTGGGGCTCTTCACTCTCCTGCCAGGGGTAAGGCGGACACTAGCGAATGGGGGTGGTCTCGTTGGGTTGACCTGGAGCTCCTGGCTCCCTCTGGAGAAGCAAGTATTTGGAAGAGGGGAGCTGCATATTCATGGCTGGGCCTGAAGGAGGTTTACTTGAAAGAACTGCGGAGGGAAAAGTGGAGGAAGGAAGCACCACAGCAGGGTCTTGGAGTGACAAGACTTTTAATATTAGACATTTCCTGATACTGGCAGTAGGTCAGAAGAGGCCACTGACAAGCATAACATTCTAGAAGTTGAATCAATACGTGACAAGAAAAAAGTCATTCCTATTCCTTAGCATCGTAACATAGGAAACACCATATGAAGCCAAATCATACTTCACCATGTAATAATTATTATTGTTATTCTTTTTAAATATTTTATTTATTTGACAGAGAGAAAGAGAGAGCACAAGCAAGGGGAGCAGCAGGCCAGGGGAGAGGGAGCCTGACGTGGGGCTCGATCCCAGGACCCCGAGGTCATGACCTAGCCCAAGGCCGACACTTAACCAGCTGAGGCACCCAGGCGCCCCCATGCACATGATCTTTATTCAGATGTTCGTCAAGCACCGTGATGCACCAGCACTTCTGAGAACTGAGGATACAGTCGTGTGCCCGAAAACACGGGCAGCTCTCTGGTGCCTCTTGCACTCGGATCCTGCAGGTGATTTCAGATTTTGCCCTGTGTCGCGTCGCAGGCTGTGGCTTCCACGCGCAAACTGGAAGGTGGCCTGTGACAGACGCCAGGCACAGGGACCTTCTGATGAGGTGGCCTCTTGGCTGACCATGGAGCAACGCGGAGGGGCGCTATGGGGGGCCCGGGGCGCCTCCTGTGAGGTCGAGGCCAAGGCCAAGACCAAGGCCAAGACTAAGGCCGCGGCCGCCTGGGCCAGATTCTTCCTGTGTTCCTGCTGCTGCTGCTGTTCATGGGCTCACGGGAGAGCGCAGGGGAGAGTCCTTTCCTTCCCACGCAGGCCCCTAACAGCCTCCAGGTCCCTCGCACCGTGTCCCTTCTTTGTCCCCAGGGGTATAGTGTGCTCGCTGTGGGCGGCAGGAGGCCGGCGGCCCTACTCGGACCCGCCACATCAGAGCTTTACGAAAACCGGTCTGTGCCAAGCACGTCACACCTGGTGGTTACTTTAGGCCTCAAGCTAATCCTGAGATGGGCAGTGATACGGAGCCCATTTTCCAGATGGAGAAACTGAGATACAGATAATTCAGTGACTTGCCCAGTTCTTGTGGCCAAGAAGCGCCCCAAATGGCCGCACCACTGCACAGTCCCCATGTGCTTAAAATGAATGTACCCTATTTTCTCCAGGAACAATCTGTAAAGAAATCCCACGTATACACTTTCTTTTTCTTTTTTTAAAGATTTTCTTTATTTATTTATGAGAGAGACACAGAGAGAGAGAGAGAGAGAGAGAGAGAGAGAGAGAGGCAGAGACACAGGCAGAGGGAGAGGCAGGCTCCATGCAGGGAGCCTGACGTGGGACTCGATCCCGGGTCTCCAGGATCACACCCTGGGCCCAAGGCAGGTGCTAAACCACTGAGCCACCCAGTCTGCCCTACACTTTCATTTTATATGGATAGTTTGTGCCTCACTTAAAATATCCCAAGTGTTTCCCATACTTTGTGTTTTTATCATCCTCATTAATTCATCTAGTTCGATCCTGGGAACAACTGCTCTTTAAGGGTGTTAAGATCCCCCCCTTCTTTCCATCTGTTTCTATCCTTATTTAAACTTCTTTTTAGCCCTTCAGGCTCTTGGCTAATTCAATCATCAAACAATCAATCAGTCAATCAATTGATACGTTCTGCGCTCTAGTTCTCCAGTTTCATCTCAGATATCTTTTTTTGTTTGTTTAAGTTTTTATTTAAATCCCGTTAGTTACCAAAGAGCATAATATTGATTTCAGGAGCAGAATTTAGTGATTCATCCCTTACATACAACACCCAGTGGTCATCACAACAAATACCTTCCTTAATGCCCATCACCCATTTACACCGTCCTCCACCTCCCTCCCTCCATCAACCCTCAGTTTGTTCTCTATTGTTAAGAGTCAATCCCTGGTTTAGGATGTGGGGAATACTATAGTATTCCTTTTCCTTCTTTTTTGCTTCCCTCATCTTTTTTTTTTTCCTTATCCCCTATGTTCATATGATTTGTGTCTTAAATTTGTTTTTCTCTGACTGACTGATTTCACTTAGCATAACACACTCTAGTTCCATCCACTTCATTGCAAATGGCAAGATTTCATTCTTTTTTATGGCAGAGTGATATTCCATTATATCTATATCTATATAGATACATACACCCCCCTCACATACACACCTCTTCTTTATCCATCCATCAGTTGATGGACATTCTGGCCATTTCCATAATTTGGCTATTGTTGATAATGCCGCTATAAACATCAGGGTGCATGTGCCCCCAATCAGTATTTTTGTATCCTTTGGGTAGATACCAATTGCTGGATTGTAGGGTAGTGCTGTCATATATCTTCTCCTCACAATCCTGTCAACCGTCCAACTCAATCTTTTTCCCTGTGTTTTCCCCACAGACTTATGACTTACTATTTTGAAGCAAGCTTTGAGGATGGATTACCAGGCACCTAAGTTAATTTTTTTAATATTATTTATTTATTTGAGAGAGAGAGAGAGAGAGAGAGAGAGAGAGAGAGAGAGAGAGAGAGAGAAAGCATGAACAGGGGAAAGGACAGAAGGAGAGGGAGAAGCAGACTCCCCGCTGATCATGGAACCCAACACGAGGCTCCAGGACCCCAAGATCATGACCTTAGTGGAAGTAAGCCACTTAGTCGACTGAGCCACCCAGGTGCCCCAACTAAGTTCAGTTTACCAGGTAACCTTACTTTTGTATGCCAGGCAGTTAGTATTTGTGCAATTAAAACTTGTCACTTAGGTAAATAACAAGCAATACATTTTATTGGGTGAAATTAATTGGGGGAATTTTTTCTACTCATGAGTTTTCCTTGTCTTTATGAGCAATTTCTTAGTTTAATGGGAACTAACTGAATCAAGTAAAGCTTAAGAGATTATATTGTAGTTGAATATAAGAAGCAAAATAGATTTCAAATAAAAAGAGCAAGTAACTGCAAATACTCTATTAAAAAAAAGACGACAACCCAAAAATCTTTAGGTAATGGAAAAATTGGCTTTTTACTAATTAATCAATTCATTTCTTTTGGCATTTTAAGCCAAATGTAAAAAATTCACTCAAATGCCTTCTAAATTTGACTCATATATGAGAACGCCATATAAGAAAACATAAATTACAGAGTTAAACATTATCAATGATTTTACCTCATTTATATTTCTTTTTTCTCTTTTTTTCCCTTTCATTTATATTTCCAGTCAACATATGCAGTTCATTTCATAAGATGAATTAGCTACCTAACTTCACTCCACAGGTTTCACTTCTTCATCTTTATGTGCGCTATAGGGCCCTGAACAAAATGACCAAAATACAACAGAGCAAGACATGGGAAACATTCCTTACCTTTAAAGAAGACAAAATTCCCATCACTGTTTTCATAAACTGCATCGATACTAGGAGGCAAGCCCCGCCAGAAGTAAGTAATTTGCATGGGGTATCCATCCATCACCCTGTTGTTTCTCACTCGCCAAAACCACTGGTCCTGCAAACCAAGCAAAAGCATCTCTCAACAAACATGCAGGCCTCCATGGCATTTCCCTGTGCAATGGTGTAACACTTCTAAAACTAAACTAGTGTCATTTTCACTGTCTCACATCAAAACAGTCAAAGAAACAGCTAATCAACTTGCTTACAGTGATCAGTAATTGGTTCTGTCTTTACCCACCCAACCTCTAATCCATACAATGTGATTGAAAGATAATGTAAAAACATTTAATTTAAGCACTTTACATTATCTTCAGGGCTTTTCAGATGGAAAAAACAGAAGTAGCACAGACAAGTCCCTGCCAGATTTGTGGATTAAGTCAGTTTTCCTGAATAAGAGAGCAACATATGGACATGTATGCATTTACAGACGTATACAAGATCTCCACACCTAAAATGTGAGGGATGGAATAAAAGAGGCCATCCCTCCTGCTATGCTCACATCATACCCATCATCTCCTATAATTATAAGTAGAGTCCTCTTTCACCCTCAAACATGTTTTGGTTTGGATGACAAGTCATACGGTCACCCTACATGAACAAAGCTACCTTGAAAAAAAATCATCACAGTGATTCCAATCTGGGTCAACTGCCTCTCCTATACGCTCTCACCATATCCTGACTTCACTCAATCATAGCATCGGTCATTTTATGTAAAAAGTGTCTACTTTTATCTCTAGTGAAAATACGACTTGTCCCAGAGCAAGTATTTATAAATGTTGTTGACTTAATCATTAGCTTACACACAATGTGTTTCACTGTAAATTCTAAAGGCAGAAAAACTTCCAAAAAATGTTACCTCTGATGACATTCAATTGTTTCCTATGGAAAATTTCAGAATAAAGACTATCCAAAGTGTTTTGATATTAGAAAAACTAGGTATATTTTCAAGTATACCATTTCACTTTATTTCAAAATTTTGTATTTACAAACAACATTTCACTTGGAAATCATATATTTCACTTGGAAATCATAAATTTTGTATTTACAAACATTTCACTTGGAAATCATAAGTATGTTTCACTAAAATACTTCCAAATTCCCCTACTTAGATATTAGTAAGCGATTTATTACAGGGTTTTCTCAATCTTTTGGCTCACAATAGTTTAACCTGACTAGATTTCCCAGGACTTGTGAGTTATTCATAGTCATACACACACACACACACTCAACTGAGGATTCTTGGATTCCAGGTGATACAATAAAAATGAACCTTTTCCCATCTAAACCAATCCAAATATAAAACTTTTCTTAGGAATCTTTGGATAGTTGTACTTCATTCTAGTTATCTGGAGCTGCCTTCTCTATGAACTTTGTTCTTATAAAAAAGAAGGAAGTAGCTTAATTAACAACTCTAAGTTTGTATCCTATTCTTGCTCTGTCCCTTAATAACGGTTACCCTAGCCAAGATACTAGTCATTGAGTTATTAAAACTAGTGACAGACTCATAGTATAAATACTGTCTTATTGTATTTTATTTTATTTTTATGTAGGCTCCATACCCAGTGCGGAGCCCAGCGCAGGGCTTGAACTCCCAACCCTGAGATTAAGACCTGAGCTAGGATCCAGAGTTGGACACAACCGATGGAGCCACCAAGGCACTCCTAATTACTGTTTTAAATATAAAAGGCTTTCTGAGAACCTGGCACACAGTTGGTTGTTATTATTGCTAAAATTATATTGAAACTGGTTATATTATTTTCCTTCACAATCCTGCTTATAGTTTTAGCTGCTGTTCTTTGTTTCCTTTTCAGTTTTCAGCCATATCATGGCTCTAGCCATGCATCTCTTTCCTACCAATATCTTCTTATGCTATTAACCTTTTTGTGATAATTTTTATGGTACCAGTTAACCTGAATTAATACATACTTTGATCCACATATAGTAGATACATTAAACTGATTTTAAAAAACCAAGTTATGCCATGAAAAGATCGATCCAGGAAAATTACACAGGCATGAAGATCCAGGGCTTACTGTTAATAGTAGTTAATAGCAGATGATATTCTGATAGTTTATTTAATTTTTTAAAAAGATGTATTTATTTATTTGAGAGAGAGAGCATGCGAGAGAGAAGACAGGGCTAAGAGGAGTAGAGAAAGAGGGAGAGAGAAACCCAAGAGGACTCTGCATTGAGTGCGCAGCCCGACGTGGGCCTGAAACCCAGGACTCCGAGATCAGGACCTGAGCTGAAACCAAGAGCTGGATGCTTAACCAACTGTGTCACCCAGGTGCCCTTCCACATAAAATATTCTTAAGTTATTGTACTGTATACCCTAAAATAAAAAATAAAAATAGCTAAATACCTACTGGATTCTGACAAAGAAATAACAGACCATGGTAATTAATGGAACAATGAAACTGAAAGCTCTCTGACCTGACGGGTCAGAAAAAATCAGTTTAAAAAAAAACCCTGAAACACATTCCAATTTTTCTCAGAGAATCACTTCACATTGTTCTCTCTCCAATACCGAGACAAGGCCGGTGGCTCTTTGGGACAGATATATGCTGCTGAGTGGAGATAGGAACATAACCTCCACTTGCCATTAATACAGGAAGAAATGGAAACTTTGCCTCAAGAGAGGTATAGTCCATTTGCAAAAATTCAGAAGGTAATATGGAATCGTAGGTGAATTGAGAATGATTTCTAATTGACAGCAGCAGCCTTGGCAGACAGTGATATAAACTGTCGATATTCAGGTTGTGCTTCTATTCAACTTATCCACACCTTCTCAGGGCGGTAGAAAGTAACGGTCGAAATAATTTAGCAACCATTTGTCACAGAGGATGTAAACATATCACAATCACTATAGATTGCCATTTCAGAAACTGAGCTTGTGAAGAGAGGATATTTAAAATGATATTTAAGCCTCTATGCACATTTTCCTTCTAAGTGAAATCTCTTCTGACCCCACAGTCTAAAATTGAATTCCCTCCTGCCACCCACCCACAGGGGCTTTCACTCCCCCTCCTCCCCTGCTTTATTCTCCTTCACCATGTTGATCACTCTTTAACACAACACACGTTTTCTTTATTGTCTATTCTCTCTCCGGTAGAATAGATTTGCCATCTCTCCACGATGGCAAATGTATCTGTCTGTGTTCATTTGTGGTTCCCCAGAAAAATGTCTCGCACATGGTTGAAGCTTACTAAATATTTCTTGAAAGGAAACAAATTTAAGGAGAAAAGGGCAAAGTAAAGGTAAATTATCCTCTTACAAAAGCTATGCAGATGTCACAAGAATATAAAAGTTCCACTTGAATAGGCACAGGTGTTTACTATATATTCCATTATTTAGAAAGGTATGCTATATAAAGGTCTTTGGGCCATGCAGGGAAAAAAAATTTTTGCTTCACCCTTCTAAACAATGTAGGTTTTGTTTTGGCCTTTGGTGTAAAGGGAAAGAAAGAATTCAAGCTCTAAATCTGTTGTTTCTATCTTGCCACTGGCCTTTTTTTGGCTACAGCCCTTATAAAAGGGGGCGGAAGCAGTAGAAGCATACCCTAAAAATAATCAAAACTAGCACATTTGCAAAATCAACTCATGAAAAAAAAATAGCACTTAAAAATTACCAAAGAGGAATTCCTACTTAAACACCAATATTTCACTTTATTTTTAAAAAAAGATTTTATTTACTTATTTATTAGAAAGAGAGAGATCACAAGTAGGGGTTGTGGGAGAGGGAGAAGCAGGCTCCCCACTGAGCAGGGAGTCCCACGTGGGGCTCGATTTCAGGACCCCGGGATCATGACGCATGCCAAAGATGGATGCTTAACCAACTGTGCCACCAGGAATCCCAATATTTCACTTTAGATACAAGGTCACACAGATTTTTCTTTCCATGTAGTGAGGGACCCAGGCAGGCCACTTTGCTCACAGAGATGACAAATACCCAGAGTACTGCAGGGTGTAGACCACGAGGAAATAACATACCAGGGAAATCTGGTTCTTTTCTTTTCTTTTCTTTCTTTCTTTCTTTCTTTCTTTCTTTCTTTCTTTCTTTCTTTCTTTCTTTCTTTCTTTCTTTCTTTTCTATTAAAGATTTTATTTATTTATTCATGAGACACAGAGAGAGAAGCAGAGACACAGGCAGAGGGAGAAACAGGCTCCATGCAGGGAGCCCGATGTGGGACTTGATCCCGGGTCTCCGGAATCACACCCTGGGCCAAAGGCAGATGCTCAACCTCTGAGCCACCCAGGGATCCCAATCTGGTTTCTTTTTTAAAATTCCCTTGAAAATTCTGTCCTAATACGGGCATATGCTTTGCTGACCACTCCAGAGGCAAAAGCATCCATCCTCCCGCTGCTGGACTGGGAAGATGCATTAGGCATCTACTCTCGGGACAGGGTGGGGTTTGCAGGCCTCTTTTTAGGAGCCGATGAGTGCATCGGATCGACTGTGCTTCTCTTCTGATACACAGGTTGGTTATTCAGCCCCAAACCTGAGACACCCCTGTGAGGGCCTCACGTGTCTAAACTGAACCTTGCCAGAGGCATCTGGGTTGCTCGCCCAGCCCTCGCCTGCCCCGCCACTGGGCGCCCCCAGTCGTCCCCACCTCTGAAATAGCATCTCCCAAGTCCTGATTCCCTGCTATCGTCACTGTCACCAGCCCACTCCGCGCTGCCACCGAGTTTCACGGAGGTGCCAGCTCCCAGCTCCAGATCTGCCTCCTACCGCATCTAAAACGGAATTCAGACTCGCTCCTGCCTGCAGCCCCTGTGCATCCACTGCAGGTCCCTTCGTGCCCATGACGCCCTCCCCACGCCGGCACCCTTGCCGCCTCCGGGAGGGATGCTCTCTTCTCCCTTAAGACGTCCCCACGCCCTCTGCTCCCACTCCTCACCCGATGAACCCTGGATCACCTCTTCATTCTCAGCTGAAATTTCCTTTCCACAAAAAGGCCCTACCTGCCCCCCGACTGGAATTAGGTGACCCTGTTATGCTGCTTCGCAGTAGTCTGTAATTTCACTTTCCAGCACTTACACCATCTGTCACCCT